TGGTGTCGCTCTATCAGCCAAGAAATGCAGTGGAGGCCACCGGCCGCAACAGCATTTTAACCTCAAAAGCACCTCAACTTAAATCAATGTTTTTTCCTGCAATTTCATGCACTAGAACCCATTCATAGCATGTTATCAATAGTCTGCCAATAATTTGTCATTATTTGCCATTCTGTATGTTTGGCATTTATTGGTGTATTTCAATTGTCACAAACATGGTCATTGTTTTGGTTCTAAGATTCTCATGCCAATACTTTATTTACTTTCTTGTGATTTTACTAGAGGCAACCCTGACCTATAATGGCTAAAGATAAAGTTGTGGATATATTCTGAACCCCTAAAAATACATACATGTATTACAACATAGATATAACAATAAATTGCAAAGTGAATATTTCAATTGGTCTCAATCTGGCCCTTATTTTACCTTTTTATATGCTGTGCATAACAAATTTAGCCCAGGCTTATGTATATGAAATTGTCTAGTTGGCTGCCTGGAGACCTGGACCATAGATCTGAACAGTGGCCAATCTTTGATTTGATTAGTTAGACAATGTGCAGATTACATGGATGTTTTTAAAAGTAAGGTGATAGCCACTATGGCCCACATTTTAGATTTTAGTCATTTAGCAGACGCTCTGGGACTTACAGTTACATTTACATTTTAGTCATTTAGCAGACGCTCTTATCCAGAGCGACTTACAGTTAGTGCATACATTATTTTTTATTTTTTTCATACTGGCCCCCCGTGGGAATCGAACCCACAACCCTGGCGTTGCAAACGCCATGCTCTACCAACTGAGCTACATCCACAGTTAGTGAGTGCATAAATTTTTTTCATACTTAGGTTACATTAAAGAGGGTTTGGTAAGACCAATAAACATATTACCAATACTGATATTTATTATACAGCATCTGTTTATTGGGAAAAAATTGAAAATAAAATATCTGACATTGTGGGGTCAATAAGTTGGTTGTTTGCTTTTTCTGAGTAAATTTTTTTGACTCAGGCTTGTTTTATTTTTATTTTACCTTTATTTAACTAGGCAAGTCAGTTAAGAACAAATTCTTATTTACAATGACGGCCTACACCGTAGAGTGGGGACATTCTTTAAACCTCTAGTCCAGGGGTGTCAAACATACGGCCCGCGGGCCGGATCAGGCCCGCAAACGGGTTTAATCCGGCCCGCGAGATGATTTCAAAAAAAAAAAAAAAAATGTAATGTATAAAAATGCGCAGCAATTTTTCAATAAAAGAAATTGCTGTTCCAATTGCGTCCACTGGATGGCGCAATAGCAATTGTGTTAAGCAAGCAAACTGTTTATACCGGGGCAGAGCAAGTAGGTCAAGCACGTGCAGCCAATGAGCTACTTTGTTTTGCCCGCGATATTGATTACGGCTTCTACTTTTAACATTATGTGCTTTGGCACCCTCATTGCCCCAATATGTCTCTGTCAAAAAAGAGAAAAGTGGACGCAGAGTGCAGAGTGTTCCAAGAAAAATGGTCATCCTATTTATTCACGGAATTGAATGGGAAAGCTGTATGTTTGGTGTGTTCAGAGCATGTTGCAGTGCTGAAATAATATAACCTTCGTCGCCACTATGTGAGTCTTCATGCCGACAAATATGACAACTTTCAAGGACAGCGGAGATGAGAGAAGGTGAATGAACTGTTGGCGGGTCTGAAGAAACAGCAGTCTGTGTTTACTCACAGCAGAGACATCAGTGACGCTGCAGTGAAAGCTAGCTACCTCATTGCTAAGGAAATCGCAGTGGCTTCAAAACCATTTAGTGAGGGTGAATTTGTAAAAACATGCATGATGAAGGCAGTGGAGATTGTGTGCCCTGAAAAGCGGCAGGCTTTTGCAAATATCAGCCTGACAAGAAACACAGTTGCAGACAGGATTTCCGATCTTTCAGTGGATTTGGACAGCCAGTTGAAGCAAAAAGTAAAGTCATTTATTGCGTTTTCGGTTGTAATTGATGAAAGCACGGACATTACAGATGTTGCACAACTGGCCATTTTCATCCGCGGAGTTGATGACACATTGACCGTCACCGAGGAGTTCGTGGAGTTGGTGCCGATGACAGATACAACGACAGCAGCTGATATTTTTACCGCACTCGTCGGCGCGCTGGACAGGGTCGGAGTGGACTGGTCCCGCGCTGTCAGCCTGGCTACAGATGGTGCGCCCTCAATGATCGGGAAAAAAGCAGGCGTTGTGACAAAGTTCAGAGAGAAAGTGCAATCTGCAAATGGAGGACGTGATTTTTTGACTTTTCACTGGATTTTGCACTGGGCTTTGTGTTGCAAGTCATTAAAGATGGATAACGTCATGAAGGTGGTCATCCAAACTGTTAATTTTCATCCGATCCAGAAGCCTGAATCACCGTCAGTTTGACAGCCTTCTCAGAGAGAAAGACCACATCTATGGCCTGCCATACCACACTGAGGTAAGATGGTTAAGCCGAGGTGCTGTGCTGAGGCGTTTCTTTGATTTACGAGAAGAAATTGAACAGTTCATGGAAGAAAAGGGCAAACCAGTGTTAGAATTTCATTCCGCAGAATGGATGCAGGACCTTGCATTTATGGTGGATGTTACAGAGCACCTGAATAACTTGAACAAACAGCTGCAAGGGCGCAACAAAGTTGTCACGCAGTATTATGACAGCATACGTTCTTTCAAGTTGGAGCTGTCATTGTGGGAGACGCAACTTGCCGGTGGTGATGCAGCTCACTTCCCCTGTCTGAAAAATGTGTGCGCGACCCAACATGTGGCAGACATGAAGCGGTTCAAAGATAAAATAACGGGACTGTTACGGGAGTTTGAGCAACGCTTTCAGATTTATGTTTATATGTTTTTATGTTGATGTGCTATTGTTTTTAATTGATTTTATTTTATTTGTATATTTAACCTATTCTTGACTCTGTGGTTCTTGCACTTGTTTGGGGAACAGGATTTCATTATTTTTATCTACATTTCTGCCTGAGAAATGACACCCTGATATAGTTCTGTGATCTGTGATATACTTCTGTGAATCACTGAGGCATTGTGTGTTTGTGTGTTCTTTGTCCTCAGAACTTTCAAATAACTTGAGGTGTTTTATGATTAATAGTGATGTTGTGCTTTTGGACACTGTCCTCAGGCTCCAGCTTTATGTTTATATGTTTTTATGTTGATGTGCTATTGTTTTTAATTGATTTTATTTTATTTGTATATTTAACCTATTCTTGACCTTGTGGTTCTTGCACTTGTTTGGGGAACAGGATTTCATTATTTATATCTACATTTCTGCCTGAGAAATGACACCCTGATATAGTTCTGTGATCTGTGAAACAGTTCTGTTAATCACTGAGGCATTGTGTGTTTGTGTGTTCTTTTTCTTTAGAATTTTCAAATAAACTTGACGTGTTTTATGATTAATAGTGATGTTATGCTTGTACTATTTTGGACACACTGTCCTCAGGCTCCAGCTTTATGTTGTATGTTGATCGTATTAAAACAAAGAAAACAATCTGAAGTTGTTGTTTTTAAGTTATATATACCATGATTTTTCCGGTCCGGCCCACTTGGGAATAGATTTTCCTCCATGTGGCCCCTGAGCTAAAATGAGTTTGACACCCCTGCTCTAGTCACTTACTGTACTTGGTACACATAATGTTTTTAGAGTGGGCGAACTTGTAGCTACTGTATGAGATGTAGCTCCTTGCTATGGACGACAGTGGGCGCTATTTTTGGCTCTCGAACCGGAAGCCACTAGATTCCTCCTTGGGCGCTGATAGCTAACTGTAGCTACTAGCTAGCTAGCTGGAATGGGTCCGATAGGTAGCTAGCTACGTGAACTGCGGTTAAAAAGTCAAAATAATTTAGACGCATAAAATCCAGCTTAGTACACTCATTGGAAAAGTGAGCGAACCATGAAACGAGATGTCAGGATACTGTTATTGGGGGAACGTAAGTAAATCCTCTTTTAATATTGACACACCAATTTAGCGCGCTAACGTTAGTTAGCTACTGTACAGTAGCTAACTAACGCGTTAACGTTGCTGGTTACAGACTGCCTGATGGAAAACTTCTGCAGTTTTCTATAAATCTGTATCCAGCTTTTCCCCCGTGAATTACTAGCTAGTTACCTAATGTTATAGCATTGGCAGCCATCCCATCATTATGTTTTAGCTACATAACATAGCTAGTGTAATATTAGCTAGTTAGCCAGCACCAAATCTGACAGTACTAGTAGTACGTGTTGTTTTGCACTTACTGTACTAGCCGACGTTAGTTAGCTAGCCAAGTTAGTAGCTAGGTAGAACTATTTAGCTAGCTAGTTAGCTGTCAAAATGTTTTCTCATGCGTTAGCTATCTATCTAACGAGATACCTTGCCACCATCAAGTGTGCTAAAGAGGATGTTTCTTGTTTGGCATGTTTTGTTGACAGTATTGGTGGTTGGTTGTTGGAGAAAAAAACAACAGATATATTCTAGCTACTTAGCTAACTGTTACAAGTAACTTCCAAGTATTTTCCTAATAATTATCTTTGTATCCCTAGCTGTATTGTAACGTTGTAGCTCATTTGATTGCCCCTCTATTTGAATAGGCCTAAGGCATTCCCACATACCTATTCATGAACACTGAACCAACCTATCGTGTCCAGGATGTGGAAACTCAACAAGAGAATGTCAGAGAGAACCCCTTATCAGGCCATACTCTGTGGTTAATCAAATAAAGACATTTAACTAGCTAGTTATAATAAGATCATTAAGTCACACTTCATCATTAAACCTAGACTACATTTAGACTTAGGTCTTAGTTATAGTTCAGCTTAAGTATTAGCACCCCATGTAATCCAGCTCTGTCTACATATGAGCTGGAGAAAGTGATCTATTTACCTGGGGGTATGACCTCAAGGTGAAGTGTGTTTTTGCCTCCTTTTTCAATAATGTCTCATTCCACTTTTCACCCCTCTGTCAACAGCTAAGGTGGGAAAAACATCACTCATCATGTCATTGGTTGGGGAGGAGTTTCCTGAGCATGTAAGTGTAGCTATGATTGTACATTCCCACTGGTTTATTTCTCAGTTTTGTCTGCAGTGCTGACACGTCTAACAAATTATACCCACCAAATGCAAACACTACATTGATGACTAAATAGTCAGTTAATTTATAAAATATGTATCCACTGGCTACTACTACACCGTACATGAGCAGTATTCTCATTGACTTGCGCACACATTGTCTGCTATCTACACCACAGTGCACAGAGGGTGGCTCTATTCAGTTTGGTGTCGGCGAAAACCATCAACTGTGAAAGTGTGATTGTTAGGGAAAATGAACCTCCACTAGTACAATATTCCCATCCTGTTTATTTTGCATTTATAAGCACTCATTATTGTAATATTGTACTCATAATATGCCACTTCCATCCCCCTCATCTCATCCAAAAAAAGATGGAGGATAATTTCCAAGTCATTTTTCCAGTCTCAGACAGTGCAATGCCTAAACACTCCCCACACTCTGACCATGAAGTTAATTTCAGCCTGTCAGTTCCAGGCTGTTTTTATTTAATTAAAGGTTAATGGAGTCCCTCTGTCAGACCGTTGAATCTGTGTAATCCCCCTTAGGTGCCCCTCCGAGCTGAGGAGATCACTATCCCAGCCGATGTCACTCCAGAGAAGGTGCCCACACACATAGTGGACTACTCAGGTGAGGCGCTGCTCGCTCAGTGGCCTAATACACTGAACCCACCACTCACTCTCTTGCTGTAGTCTGTCTGTGTATGTGCCTGTGCATCTCTCTTTATAAAGACCAAATATCTCCCTAGCCACCAGAATGTCTTGTCTGCAAGCTAACAGAATGGCTGATTACGTGTAATTGCATGATTATCAGTCCAATTCAGTGCTGCTGCTGATGTGGTGCTGTAACTGTTATCACCTGGTTATCAGTTGATTAAATTGAGTGCATTGTTTTGGCCCTACAGAAACGGAACAGACTGATGAGGTCCTCAGAGAGGAGATTATCAAGGTAAGGCTAGTTCTCAGTGTTGACCCACCTTATCACTAGCTGAACGTTCAGAGGTGAAGTTTCCCCTAGGTGCAGATCTAGGATCAGCTTCCCCTCCCTCAATCCTAACCTTAACCATTGTTGGGTAAAATACTAAACTGACCCAAGATCAGTGTCTAGTGGAAACTTCACCCTAGACTTAGCTGAACAGGTAGTGCTGAGCTATTAACCGAAATGTCTGTTATTTTTCAGTTTTTAAACAACTAATTGACTGATGTCGGTTCAATTATTCCATGTAGTTTTTTTCTGTACGCTCAATGCGCAGAAAACATGAACATTTACTACAATGACCATAATCCATTGCGTGGCTACTTGTCTGGTCTGTGTTTCTTTTATGCCACGTAAGAGATAGAAGTATGTGCGATCAATAGGGGATACATAGAGAGCAGTTGCTTTGCGAAGTATTGTTATTCAGCAGTCATAAAAGTATGCCTTATTTACCTTGAAGAACTACTAAAATAGTGATTTTGTCAGACAGCATAGGCAGCATCTCTATAGAGATGAGATGAAGACTTGGAATGAAATAATAGTAAACAAATGTAATATACACAACAACAGAAATATTTATTAAAGGAAAGTAATGTGAATAACTGATGGTTAATAAGTGATAAGCAGTAATGAACAGTCACTACCATCATGGGACTTTTATTAATTGTTTTATTCTGTGTTACAGCATTCATCCCACATAATGCATAGTGCATTACGAAATCGTGATAATTTTTTTATAATCGAACCGAACCCGAACAGACCTCAAAATGCACTAATTGCTCAGCACTATGAACAGGAGAACCATCTGTGGATGACCACCAGTTGATCTCACCTCATTATTTAATAATGTGTTGTAGTGAGTATGTGTTGTAGTGAGCCTTGACCAGCTGTACCTTACAAATTCACAATCATTTGAGTTCATTTGGAGAATGTGTTCGATTGTGTGCTTTAGTTGATGATAAAGACTTTGCATTCCAACCATGATTTCTTAAAACTCATGCAGGCCAATGTGGTGTGTGTGGTCTATGACGTCACCCAGGAGGAAACGATAGACAAGGTACCCTCTCTCACACGTCTTAAAAATGTCCTTCTTAGAGAAACCAATATGGAAGCATTTGGCATGGTATAACAATAATTTGTATAATGTAGCCTACAGTATGGGACCAATATGATAAATTTGAGATTTTATTAGTGTTTTGTTATAATTTCATATGCTTCTCACCTTTCAGATCCGAACAAAATGGATCCCCTTGGTAAATGGCGAAGCAGAGAAGGGGAATAAGTATGTATATACTGTTGTTTAAATTACATGTGCTTGTGCTTAGGAGCTTGTGTGCGTTGTCTTTGCCTGAAAGTGTTGTGCTTGAACTAGCCTCCTTGGCCTTTGTGTCATAAAACATTAGATATCTTTGATCTTAAATTCATTCCTTATGATGTCACAGAGTTCCCATAATCCTAGTGGGGAATAAATCGGACCTTCGCTCTGGGAGCTCCATGGAGACCATTCTACCTATCATGAACCAGTTCTCTGAGATTGAGACCTGTGTAGAGGTGGGGCTCGCATCTCAAACTCACTCTCTTCAGCTGCCTCCCCACTCACTCACTCAACGCAATGAGGACCTGATTTCACACCAATAATTACGTGCACCGATCTTATGCAAACAATAATTAGTCAAACTGTTTTTGTTTGAACACACCTATGATTGGGCAAACCTGATGTTTTGACTTTCCTCTCCCAAGTGTTCTGCCAAGAACCTGAAGAACATCTCTGAACTGTTCTACTACGCTCAGAAGGCTGTGCTCCACCCCACCGCCCCGCTCTACGACCCGGAAGACAAACAGGTCAGCCATTTTGGGGACATGAGGACATTTTGAGGATAGCTTTAGCTTATACCTTTGGAATGACCTGGTTTTATTGTGGAGTCTTGCTTTGTTGAGTGTTAACTGTGTCTGTGTGCTGATGTTACTTCCAGTTAAAGTCAATGTGTGTCCGAGCACTCAGCCGAATCTTCAGCATCTCAGACCAGGACCATGACCGCATCCTCAGTGACACTGAACTCAACTGCTTCCAGGTGAGAATCAAATAACACTCATCCATCCATCCATGAATCTATTAATAGATACATGCGCGCACCACGTACATGCGTAGAGATAAAAATCAATTGCAGGTCAGGTGTAAGACTGGCCAGGCCATTCGAACAGCCGGGTATAGTTTTAACTCAATGCGTGTGTGCGGTTCCTCAGAAATCGTGCTTCGGGAACCCTCTAGCCCCCCAAGCTCTGGAGGACGTGAAGACGGTGGTGTGGAAGAACACGAGCGACGGGGTGCAGGATAACGGCCTTACCCTGAACGGTGAGGGATGAACCTACAGTGAGATGGCTCAGCCTTTAATGATATAGGACATGTTGGGTTTAGCCTCTGTTGCTAGTAGTGGCAATAGTTAGTAGGGAGCCTATGTGATAAGATAGAACAGACATGATTCTAATTGTATCCTCTACCACCAGGCTTCCTGTTCCTCAACACGTTATTCATCCAGAGGGGTCGGCACGAGACCACGTGGACCATCCTGAGGAAGTTTGGTTACGATGACTCGCTGGAGCTGACGGATGACTACCTATACCCACAGTATGTGTTCTGGCTCCACTACTGTATGTTTCTGACCCACTCACAGACATATGGTAGAAACATTTGGTTACCTCCCCTATGTTGTAATGTGATATTGAAGATGATACTGCACAAGTATTGTCACACAGGTTTTTGGTGTGTCAGAGTTTTCCAGAAAACATCCTGCCCTTACACGATTTATGTTCATTTATCAAGCCAGAGCGGTAGATCGTCTGTTAGCTAAACCTCAGACCAGTAGTGTCTTGTGTGTGTACGGTAAGCCCAGGTATTTATATGACTGTTTGTTGTGTGTTGCCAGGCTACGGGTGCCCGTGGGCTGCACTACCGAGCTCAATCATCTGGGTCACCAGTTTCTCCAGAGGCTTTTTGACAAGTATGACGAGGTGTGTGACCGCCTCAGTGGCCATCAATCAGGAAGTCAATTTATATCCATCTGTCTATTTGTCAACAAAGCACTAAGCAGGTTATATTTTAAGTGTAAAGAGAATACACATTTTTAAGTGGAAATCCCCAGTTCATTTTAAGCATTAAAATTGACCCCCACTCTAACAACATGGCTGTTTTTAGGGCTGCTGAAAGTTTGTTAGGACTTAATGGGGCGTTTTACCCCTCTATCAATATATATTTTTTTACTCCAGGATAAGGACTCTGCCCTCTCTCCTGCGGAGCTCAAGAATCTCTTTAGTGTGTTTCCCTACATGCCCTGGGGCGCAGACGTGTACACGGCGGTCTCAACCACAGACGAGGGTTACATCTCTAATCATGGCTACATGTGTCAATGGACGTGAGTATTGGGGGTTTTTATGTTTAGAATTTATGGGGTTTTTTATGTTTAGAATTTCAGTGTAAGCAGGTCCGTGAGTATAAATGAATGTGTTAGGGTATTTAGGTTAGGACAATGAGTGTTCCTATTCTGTTCTCCTCTAGCTTCACTAATGTGACTTCCCTCCATATACAGGCTTTCAGCATACCTTGACATCCATCGCTGTCTGGAGTTCTTGGGATACCTGGGCTACCCTATTCTCACTGAGCAGGACTCCCAAACCACTGCAGTCACAGGTCTGTGTCTGTATGCATTTTTTTTAGATTGCTGCAAGTAGCCTCTCTAGGAAGATAGACTGTATGTTAACTAGATCCTATAATCCTAGCGCCATAGTAAACCTCACTCGCTGTACATAGATTAGGATTAGAACTATAATCTGGTTCAGTAAAGGCCCTACAGACAGAATTATATACAGTAAATGTATGCCTTCTGAGGATGTACAATGACACTGAAGGGTCAACTTTGAATATGCTATTTGACTGGTGTGAAGACTTGAGTGTGTGGTGTAGTTATTATATGCGCTGCTAACACAACATTTACACATTATTTGAGGGTACCAATAATAATGCCATAGTCGCATTCCTTCAATTGGTCAATTAGTAAATTAACCTCAACCCACCTTCCAGTGAAACCTAGTGGGATTGGTTAAAGCTCAAACTTGTATCCACAAGGGTGCTTCTAGAACGCTGGTTGGTGTGAGTAAAAATGAGGGCGTGGCTGCATGGAGTAGCAGGATTAGGGTAGGGTGAGGTAAGAGTCTCTCACGCACTCAGCCTGTGCCGCAGGGTTGAGCAGGTTTAGCTGACCCTGCTATAAATGTGGGAATGGTCCAACCACCTTAGATCCAATTCTACATTTCCCCCACGTTACCCACAAGGGGAAATATGATTATGTTTGAAATGCTTTGATAGTACTCCATCTTATTAATCAATGGTTCCCTGTCCTGATATGTCTGTCTGTTGGTGTATGTGTACTCCCTTTGTTTTCGGTGTGTGCGTTGGCACTGTCTGTGTCTGTCTGTGTGTGTGTGTGTGTGTGTGTGTGTGTTGGCACTGTCCGTGTGTGTCCCTCTGCAGTGACGCGGGAGAAGGCTGTGGACCTGGAGAAGGGCCAGACTCAGCGATCAGTGTTCCTATGTAAGGTGATCGGACCGCGGGGGACTGGGAAGTCTGCCTTCCTCCAGGCCTTCTTTGGCCGAAATACAGCGGTACGATCATCTCGCTGTTGTTTACCTGTTATTTAGACTAAATAGCGATACAGAATCACACATTGCTGGAGGAACTGTTTAGTACTTTGTTACTAGTAGTACGCCTTGAACTCTTCATTGTAAAACCATTCCGCTTCATCAATATGTGTTCGAGCTGGGAAATGATGTTGAAAACCCCAACTACTAGCATTACTACAACTAATGATGAGAGTAACAGTCGTGTGTTTGTTTCAGAGAGAGGAGCGTTCCACCGGTGCCTTTTCCTTCTACACCATAAACACTGTCCAAGTTAGCAACCAGGAGAAATTCCTCATTGTGAGTTCCTTACCTTTTACTTTGACCTCAACTGTGACCCCTGACCTTTGGTAGAGTACAGTAGCCTCACCTCCCATCTGTCGTCTTCCCCTGGCAGCTCTACGAGGTGGACGTGGAAACAAAGTTCCTGAAGGAGTCGGACGCGGCGTGTGACGTAGCCTGTCTCATGTATGATGTCAGCGACCCCCACTCCTTTGACTACTGTGCCAGCATCTACAAGGTGTGTGGCATCTCATGTCTTCTTCAGAGCTTCTCTGGTTTTCACAGATATGATCAGGAATCTGTTCTTCAATGTTTCACTCTTCTCTTTTTCTCTTCCTCCCTCTCTTTCTTCCCCACATCCTCTTTCTCTTCGCCATATCCCATTCTTCTTCATCCACATCGGTCTACTTTCCTTTCTGTAGCAACACTACATGGACAGCAATATTCCCTGTGTGATGGTGGCCTCCAAAGCGGACCTCCCCGAGGTGAGACAGCTCCACGGGATGACCCCGGCAGAGTTCTGCTACAAACACCGACTGCCTCCGCCGCTCCCCTTCTCCGGCCTGTCCCTGGACTCCACCAGCAAGAACATCTACACCAAGCTAGCTTGGGCCGCCATGTTCCCGTACGTATTAGTTCTCTGACTGTCACATTTGGCAATCTGTTGGTCACTCTGTTTATCACTCACCATTGAATCTATAGTTTGGCGATTCAGTGTTGAGAAACTTTTCATACGCTGTAGTAGTCGGCACCTTTATGAGGTTTCATATGTCAGTTCATTGATGCCTTTGTCTCCCCTCCACAGACACCTGAACGGCTCCGACATGAGCAACACATCCTTCTGGCTGAGAGTGACGCTAGGAGCAGCAGTGGTCGCGGTCCTAGGCTTTGCAATGTACAGAGCTTTCGCCCGACAGAAATGACTGGGGTCCTGACTGGAGCCCCCCTTCCCTCTTTTTCCCTCAACCCTAATCTCTAGACCAGCCTTCAAGACCAACCCTCCAGACACACTCCAGACCAACCGCCTAGACAAACTAGACCAGACAGACAAAACAGAGATCAATTTTACTTCGTCATCATTTATACCCTAACCTCCCCTCTCCTTGTCTTTGCTCTACTCTTCCAGTCTACTCCACTTAGTCACGTCTTCTTGACTGACTGACTAATTATCTCAGTCAAAATGGAGGCACGTGACCATATCTCTCACCCTCTCCTGACCTCTTGCTCGCTCTGCCTTATGGTGTCAAAATCCAGGCTAAGGAGGTAGCCTCGCTGTGCGCAATGGCAACGCAACGATTCCCCCAAGAGCTGCTACGAATATGTGGGTGCTTTATCAAATGAGGATATGCAGATACAAGGAAGAGATACATTTCAAACCCAATACTTATCGACAATCATCCACAAGGTGTTCAGGAGAATGGATAGATAGGTTTTATTTTTAATGTGTGGTCTTGTCTAAGGAAAAGAACCTCAAAATGTAATAGCAATTTGGAAGAAAATATCAAACTTAAAAAAGGCTGGTGCTGGTTAGAAACCAAAGGGCATAATGGCAAATTCAAACAGTCCATATCATGAAGGGGGGGGTTGAAGACAGATGGCCTGAATGCATCTGTCAGACAACCCCAAGCCTTAGAGCACCAGCTATGGAGGACCCTGCTGCAAGGACGTAACAGAGCAACAGACACTGAGCGGGCACAGGAAGTCCCCTGCAAAAGCTTAAGACTTGTCTTCCCATTGACCAAGCCACTGAGATAGACATTCAGACGTAATTTGCCAAATACAGAAGCCTCCCTCTTACGGACCGTTCCAGTAAAATACATGCTATCACTCCTTTAGCCTCTGCTACAATACTACGGTTGTGGGTGAAATTAACTAGATAGGTTTATTTATGGAAAAAAATAAAATGTTGAATACAAAATAGCAGTAGTTGTGGCTTGCCAGAGTAGAATCGAGAAGGAAGCAATGTCTTGTTGTGCATTGAGAGAAGTTACTATATTGTATTAGATTGATGAAAAAGCCACGCTGAAGTGTGTAATGCATCCTCCTTACTCAAAGAAATCAGTAATGTTAAAACATCTGAATAAGACTAGACTAAATCCTGCCCCGTGCAAATTAACGCTTCAAATGATCATTATAAGAAAAATATCTGCCTTCCCTGGTCTTGGCTTTTATGTGCATTCACCACAAATTGGAACTTAGGCCCCAAAGTTTATTTCTGCTAAATCAGCCATGTGTGTGGGTGCACATGTCCATTTGCATGTGTGCATACATGGACCTGTGTGTCAAGATTTTGATTGTATACTTAATTTGTCCTTTTTTTCTCTCTCTTTTAAAATATGGGAATCACTCATTTTTATCAGTTGGTTATTTTAGTTGGGGACCTACTATTGCCACAGAAAAAGTAATGTGGGTCTTATTGATTGAAAGTGATATAAAACAACTAAAGTGAATTGCTAAATAAAACAAAACGAGGATTGTTGACAGTTTTGCCAAACATTGATCCTTGACTGTCTGACTGTTGGAGTATTGGTGTGTGTGTGTGTGTGTGTGTGTGTGTACATCAGAAGCGGTGCATGAGTAAAATCACTGGGGAAGCCCCCCCCCCCAAAAAAAAAGAAGCCATATTACAACGTACATTACCAGTCAAAGGTTTGGACACACCTTCTCATTTAAGGGTTTTTCTTTATTTTTACTATTTTCTGCATTGTAGAATAATAGTGAAGACATCAAAACTATGAAATAACACATATGGAAACATGTAGTAACCAAAAAGTGTTAAACAAATCAAAATATATTTTATATTTGAGATTCTTCAAATAGCCACCCTTTGCCTTGATGACAGCTTTGCACACTCTTGGCATTCTCTCAACCAGCTTCACCTGGAATGCTTTTCCAACAGTCTTGAAGGAGCTACCACATATGCTTAGCACTTGTTGGCTGCTTTTCCTTCACTCTGCAGTCCGACTCATCCCAAACCATCTCAATTGGGTTGAGGTCGGGGGATTGTGGAGGCCAGGTCATCTGATGCAGCACTCCATCACTCTCCTTGGTAAAATAGCCCTTACACAGCCTGGTGGTGTGTTGGGTCATTGTCCTGTCGAAAAACAAGTGATAGTCCCACTAAGCCCAAACCAGAAGGGATGGCGTATCGCTGCAGAATGCTGTGGTATCCATGCTTAAGTGTGCCTTGAATTCTAAATAAATCATAGACAGTGTGTCACCAGCAAAGCACCCCCGCTCAATAACACTTCCTCCTCCATGCTTTACGGTGGGAAATACACATGCGGAGATCATCCGTTCACCCACACCGCGTTTCACAAAGACACGGCAGTTGGAACCAAAAATCTCCAATTTGGAATCTCCAACTTTCCACCGGTCTAATGTCCATTGCTTGTGTTTCTTGGCCCAAGCAGGTCTCTTCTTCTTATTGGTGTCCTTTAGTAGTGGTTTCTTTGTAGCAATTCAACCATGAAGGCCTGATTCACACAGTCCCCTCTGAACAGTTGATGTTGAGATGTGTCTGTTACTTGAACTCTGTGAAGCATTTATTTGGGCTGCAATTTCTGAGGCTGGTAACTCTGGGTCTTCCATTCCTGTGGTGGTCCTCATGAGAGTCAGTTTCATCATAGCGCTTGATGGTTTTTGTGACTGCACTTGAAGAAACTTTCAAAGTTCTTGAAATGTTTCATATTGACTGACCTTCATGTCTTAAAGTAATGATGGACTGTCGTTTCTCTTTGCTTATTTGAGCTGTTCTTGTCATAATATGGACTTGGTCTTTTACCAAATAGGGCTATCTTCTGTATACCCCCCCCACCCCCCACCTTGTCACAACACAACTGATTGGCTGAAATGCATTAAGAAGGAAAGACATTCCAAAAATTAACTTTTATTAAGAAGGCACACCTTTTCATTTAAATGTATCCCAGGTGACTACCTCATGAAGCTGGTTGAGAGAATGCCAAGAGTGTGCAAAGCTGTCATCAAGGCAAAGGGTGGCCATTTGAAGAATCTCAAATATACAATATATTTTGATTTGTTTAACACTTTTTTGGTTACTACATGATTCCATATTTGTTATTTTATAGTTTTGATATCTTCACTATTATTCTACAATGTAAAATGTTTTACAAATAAAGAAAAACCCTTGAATGAGTAGGTGTGTCCAAACTTTTGACTGGTAGTGTATGTGTTGTGACAATTGCGTTGTTTGCTCTATAACCTGTTAATTCATATGCCTTGCGACTGTGATATATAGGCCTAAAGGCAGAGACAATAAGAAGACAGTGGCAGAATAAATTCAACCACACCTTTTGTTTTATCACAAAATCGGATAGCAACCTCTGTCCAGTGAAGTCCACAAAGCATATTGCATGTCCAGTAAATGACCTACAGCATGGTCAAGCAAGTTAATGTTGCCGACATTTTCGGACCACTAAACAACTATTGATTTAGAACCACAGAGAGTTACCGCAAGTTGCAAAGAAAACAGGAGCTGCCTCCACTATTCCAGCACCATTTGAACTTCAACATTTCGACATCATCAAATCAACTCTGCTTAGTCTAACACAGTGACAACTAAAAGATACCAAAAACAATTTAGTCCAATCAACATAAACTAAATATGTTGCTGTCCATGGTTCTGATTTCTGTGTGCGTGTGTGCGTTCGTGCAAGTAGAAAAACATGTTGACTCACCCTACTTGTAGAGAAACACCAATGCCATCCTCCTCTTTCATGTTGACGAAACGGTCCATCACGCTGTCCTATGCTACCTGGCTAAATTGCTTGCTCGCTAGCCTAACTTCCAATCATGGGCAACGTTAGCTAGTTAACATTAGCCTTCTACATCTAGCTACATATTGAACTTCCATCCTCTCAGGCCAGGGGCACAACAATGTATGAATTAATGGTTGGATCAGAATCACAGTTATAATAATTTGCCAGTATGGAGAATTAGGTAAAACCACAAGTCCAAATCCCTATCTCCATCTATGGCTAATTAAGGAAAGGGCCAATTTTAGCTAGCTATCTACTGGAGGAAAACAACACAACGAGATGCAACAATTCCATTTTTTTTCTGTCAATGATGTATGCTCTCAATGGGATTTGATAGGAGTGACGCCAGATCCAAGCTGGCTCCCCTTGGCACTTTTTTTTGGTGCCCCAGGACCATTCACAGTTAAGCTCGCTCAGTTTAGCTCAATGCTGATTGTTTTTCAAGGGAGGCCAGATGCTCGCTGGCTTCCCTTGCCTTCAATGCTACGAGCGACAACAATGTAATACTCGTTTGGACCAGACAGCATCAGATAGATGGCCTACACTTAGAGAGATAGAGGGGCGCTGTTTCGCTCGTTTGGATGCTTTCTCCTGTGAGATACATTCAGCCTCTTGCGAATTGAAGGAACATTACATAGATTGTGTGCAGAACTCCACATAATTATACAGGTTTTACATAAATGCATTGATAATATGGTAGATGGTCTGGCCTAACAGAATGATGTGACTGGTTATGCTATCAGAACTAATTTTTTTTAAATAAGTTCTGAGGTACCCTCTGCATATTTACTTATTTTTTCGCGCTCTTTTGCACGTGAGCAGTTGGCATCCTCTGAATTTAATTAGGGCACTTTGCGGTTACGCATACTAGACGGGCATGTCACTATATTGTGACCAAAAACTTTCACAAATTGAATAACGGCAACCTTTAAAAATATATATATATATATATATATATATATATATATTATATTATATTTGGAATTAACTTCTGTCTCGACTCCAGTGCGTGTTTGCCATGAATGACTGCTGAACGCAAAATAGCTGTTGACTTAGCCTACCTTGGCCACCGCCAGGTGACAAATTGAAATGGTAGGATAGGCCTACCAGGCCAACCGAGAGTGTTTCCTTTTTTACAAGCAGTAAGTAGCATAGGTGAATAACTGCAATATTGATGTTTAAAGTTAAAAAGTAATAGAAAATAAATGCTAGACTACTTTGACGAAAAGAACGTTTGTATATTATTGTCCTTTTAACAGGTTTCTAACTGCTGCACCGAAAACCGCCTGAAAATATGGAGAGCGACCAGGAGATGGAAGTATGGAGTTAACTTCAGGTAGGAAAAAAACAGTTTTCTTTAGGGGTGGCATCCAATACCCATCTGCACTGTACAGTAGGACAGAGAAAAGCGGTAGCTTAAAACAGATGCTCCGCTCAACAAAGAATGTTACTTCACCTATAGTTTAGGCCTACATTACAGAGAAATGATACAAGGAAATTAGCGAAGGATGCTTCTTTAGCGCGACTCAGTTCCTGACCTTTTGATCGGGCTCATGGGCTTGGTTCAGGATTTGGAAAATGTACTTTCTTTAAAGGTGTACCTTGAGAATATAAATTACAAGTCTAGTTTATTTAACAACACTGTTTTTTTAATACTCCGTAATTTGTTGGTAATTGATAGGCACATGTTCTAAAACTATAATAGCTTTGTCAGTTTGTGTAGGTAGTGTTATGTATGGTTGTAGTGTTGGTTGATGTCTGTTTTTGTCTTAAACGTGATGCCCTAACTGTAGCGTAGGCCTACATGTGGTCAATAAAATAAATAAAAAGCATTGAAGTGGGCTTTCTAGGACCCCAATTATAAGTTATTTAATCATATAGGGTATTTTTACGTCTACGGTAGCTAATAGTTTCAGTCAGACCGCATTCATAATTCATTCATTATGTTACCAATTTGGATACGGGGGCGCATAACTTCACACGAGTCGAACATTTCAGCTGGTTGCAGATGTCAAGGAAGCTCTCGTTTTGACTCGTTTTATATGCGTAGAATTTAGTTAATAATTTTTTCATTCTTCAATAGCCCCTCGATTACTTTATCTGTGCAATTCATTCAAATAAGTGTTGAGAACGGTAGCTATTTACAGACATGTACGCCTAAGCATGCTTAAAATGCGCGTAAAGTTGTGACACATTAAGATGAGAAAAGTTTATTGTATTACAGTATAAACAGTTTCAAAAGTAATGCAATACAGTTTATTACAAATATACTGAATTAATTGAACATGGTTGGTTTTCAAAGTAGTAGCATGAATTAATTGAACATGGTTGGTTTACAAAGTAGTAGCAATGAGTCCGCATTTAGAGCCATTACGCGTCACTTGAAAATCTTGCTGACGTCCATTGTCTACACAGTTCTATACATTGTATAGTTTAACAATGCTCGCTATTGAAACAATTGTATTTTCAAAATGACCTCGTGCAAAGAGAACAATAACTATTCACATGTTCCAATAGCCTAAACAATAATAATTCCAGATTAGTGTCACATATTTTCTAACAGGTCCATATGCTACAGGTTTCCAAAGATCGCAGAGGAATAATAGCCTACATAGTAGCCCAACAATTAATGCTGTCACACACAAATGCTTTAATTCCAGACCCTCTTTTACAGCATAAATGGAGTGGAAAACAATAGGTAAAAACGTATAAGTTCGCATGAGACAATACAAAAATAATATTACATATACGAAAAACATTTCCTCAAAGTATTTACAGTGACTTTTATTATAATAACAAGTTGTCTCTGAAATGTCCATTTACTTCTTCTTTGCGGCTTTCTTGGCTGCGGCCTTGGGTTTGGGTTTCGCAGCTTTGGCCTTCTTGGGTTTCGTTGCCTTGGCAGGCTTGGCCACCATGGTTTTCTTTGCTACTTTCTTAGGCTTTGGTGCCGCTTTCTTCGGGGACTTTTTCACTTTCTTCACTGCCACTTTTGCTTTCTTGGCTTTTGCTGGTGATTTGGCCACCTTCTTGGGCTTTGCTACCTTCTTGGGCTTGGCAGCTTTCACAGGCGACTTCTTTGCTTTCACAACGGCTTTAACTTTAGGTGCCTTTTTGGTGTCCTCTGCTTTAGCCAGTTTGAAGGAGCCTGACGCGCCGATGCCTTTGGTGTGGCGCAGGACCCCTTCACTCACCATCCTCTTCAGGGACAGCTTAATCTGAGAATCGGCATTGTCCCCCACCTTGTAGTGGCTTTTGATGTACTTCTGGACAGATTGTCTGGACGCTCCTCCACGGCTTTTGTCTGCATGGACGGCTGCCTTAATCATATCCGAGTATTTCGGGTGTGAAGCATGTTTCTTGGGTGCCTTCGTCTTTTTTGCCTTTGGGGCTGGAGCTGCCGCCGTCTCTGCCATAGTTGACTCTTGAGAGTTGTTGAATTCTGTGAGAATATGCGGGTTCAGTTCAAGTATTCCCGTCTGTCACAGAGCGTCAAAAGCTGCTAAATTAATATATCCTAACTTGTAATGTTCCTGGAAAGGTCCGGATTTGCTATACGCAGAGCTTTATAATACAAGAAGTGACTGTAAATTTGCCATCACAGCTGATTCTCTATTAAGGCATCTTATTCTACAAACGTTCCTCTGACTTTATGAAGCGGACGCGCGGACGTGATTGAGAACACCAACCGCCAGCAGCTGATCCAGCAAGCTCCATGGAACTCACGTAGTCCCGTTTGTGTTTCTTCATCCTCGAACTCTTGCTAAATTTAAAAAGTACTGAGTTGCATATGTCTACAAAATCGACTGGCTTGAAAGTAGACACTTTGTGCTTCACGGGCATATTAATATTTTGATATAATTCGCTGACCGATAAACTTTTATTTCCTGAAAACCTACCCGAAGCACTGCGCGTTGTGATCAATATTGCAGAATTCCTATTAAATTAACCCAAACAGACAGAACCGACGATACAAATGACGAATGCATAATGAAAATGAATCAATACATTAACGAATGCACATGGGTTGACCGGTGCAACAGCTCGTTTTTGCTTTTAATACACCGATATAATTTTCGAACTAACACAGCCCGGCCATTGACTTTGAGTGACGTGGTCGAGATTATTTACTGTTAAACCTCCTATAAATAAATGACAGAATATCTGATGTATGGGTAAAGCATCTGATGTTAATATAGATTTATATAGGCTTTAGTGGAATGGTTACGTTTCATTTCTTTGATGTTTTAAGGCAGAATTGGTAATAAACAAACTGGCACTATGCTCCTCGCGACAGTGATCCATTGTCAGGAAAGTTGCCAACACATCCAAAGATCTGCTTCTCTGATAATAATTCACGGAATTTGTCCACATTTTCATCAAAGAAACATGATTATCTGATATTTGACGGGGTATTCGCTCAAGTGTGTGTGACTACAATCTTCACTAAACTAAACCTATCATTTAGCGTAGGGCGCATTGATGACATTCTTTTGTTCAGTGGCTGGTAGGCTATAGGAGCGTCGACTGAACGACATGACTACGCTTGGATCAACAAATATTTCCCACTGCTATAAATGTTTAATGCGCAGTGATACAGGCTACATTTGTTACGACAGGAAACATTGCAATTGTTTGTTTTTATTATAGATTTTCATCTGATATTTTCCCTGTAGCCTAAACGCCATCTTGGATCCCTTAGTAAAAGTAATATTACTTTTTAATTCATTTTCTGCTATTAGGCCCTTATGACTGTTTTCAATAAAGTAATTGTGACGTACTAGTTTTATTAATTATGAATTTGTAAAAAATCACAACTTTTTATGTCATACTTTGCAGTTGGTCCATAACGTCACATAACACTGTCAAACAGGTTTAGGCTACTTGTAGCAGGTGATGTTTCCAATTTTGACCATTATTCAAGTCGTAGGATATCTAGTTATACCAATAGCATACTAGTCATCATAGTGTATATGTTCTACGTACATTGAAAATGTATTCAAAATCTTATGGAATAGCCTGCACAAAGAGGGATCAAGACCATACAGTTTTTCTGTATGCTCCCTCTCCTTCCTCCCTCTGACCCTTTCTCTCTTTCTCTCCTCCCTCTCTCAGATGAGTAGCCTATATGTGCGTGTGCGACAGAATGAGTGGGTGAATGAGTGAGTGAGTGCTCATGAGGGAGCGCGCTAAATGAACGAATGAATGCGCGCGCACTGTCGTTCGGTATGTAGTGAAAATTCGTATTCACTCTGTTGTTGACGAGTGCCAACAATTTGGGAGCTGTAGTGGTCGACCTCTTTCGGACGTTCATGGCCTCCTTAATCGATATTTGTCCATTTGCTAGTGGGTCATTATGGTCACAGAACACTCAAAAGTGTCAGGAGAAGAGTAGTTCTTCAGTCGGGGCTTGTGCGTAGGGTTTGGTGCTGAAAACAGCACCCAAACGCACTTCTCGCCTACAAGGCCACTCCCTCCTTTCACCGACAGAGGGACATCTTTAACAATGGACGGACGGCCTGTTGGGTCAACAGAATCCATCGCATTTTTCTTTGATTATTTAAAGACCATAATGAATCAGTAGTCAATGCGCCAACCGTAAGGTTTGTAAATTAATTGCCTCATGGCTACTGTAAACATACCCTAATTTGAATCTGTGCAGGATCTACAGCCATTTGTAACACCTCGCTATCATTGCATAATAGTGCCATATTTAGGTGTTTTGCTCCTGTTTCTGATTTAAGGTGTGTTGTGATTGTTAGATGTAGGAAATGTACAATTATTGATTAATGATGGTGATGGTTGTTAGAATGATGTAATTATTAATAATAAGTAACATCATTATACATTATTGGCTGTTATTAATTATTATTTTTTATCAATACTTATTATGGCAGGCGTAGGCTATTCTTTATTAACAATCAACAACTTTTGCAGACATTGCAGCCTAATGATAAGGATACAATTGACTGATAAGAAAACACAATTGTTATTCAGCATTTTTCATATGACAACTCCCTGTCATGCCCATATCCTGTAGGGCTATATAATAATGACATATTTCAAAGCTTGCATATTCAGAAAATAAAGTTCACATACTTTAAGAAGTGTAGGCAAGTGAGGTCTAAGGTTGCACATATACGCCAATATATTCTTAGAGGAGAACTACAGCATAGTGTCAGAAAGTCTTAGTCTTAGTTACATCTAAATGTATCCCTTTGCCAAATAGTAATTTTAGCCTTTTATTAAACCCTCTCTGGGCCTGGCGTGCGGTGCCGCAGTCTCAAAGTATTATGGGAAAAGTCGTTCTCCATGTTGCTCAAGCCTTGTGTGTTTATTATGGATGGTTGCCATGGAACCATTGTCTTAGGGTGCAAAGCAAATACAGCAAATTTGATCTACATATACTACTTTCTATGAAAAGCTTTCCATCTGAGACCCTCAACTGTAGTTAGATACTCTATAGGGTTTATTCTCTTTTGAATACCTTCAGATGAAGTGAGTGCACATGAAAGTGTAGAGTAAATAAATGATCCTGAAGGTGCAAGGGAGGTATGTTGGGTTCCAAGGGCTGTATTAGGGTTGAGAGTTGATGTTATGGTGTCCTCTTTGTTACATTCCTGAGTGTAATTCGAACCGTATGTGTTAGAAAAAGGTGTCTATCCTGTTTATATAGGCAGAGACAGCCCCCCCCCCCCCCCCCCCGATACACTGTAAAACTATTTCATTTGATGTTTTGTCCTTAGACAGTTGTTCTGTGTTCTCACACACATGCTGTTACTGTGCATGTTTACTTTGACAGTTGTGACAACATGTGTGTGTCTGTATGACCAGGTGACGGAGAACAAGTGCTCTGCTGCCTGCAGCACAACCCTCAAACACACACACACAAACACACACACACACACACACACACACACACACACACACACACACACACACACACACACACACACACACACACACACACACACACACAACGCCCACTGGGACAGCTGTCGCCCCCTCCCCCCGACAGTCACCTTATTGGACACAATCTGAGAAGCACCTGTGTGCTGTCAGTCAAGCCAGCAGACTTTAGTCTGATCAAGGCTATTCTAGCTATTATAGTCCATGCCTTTGATCCATGATAAGGGTATAACCATTAACTTACTCTTTATTGCTTTTGAGTTGATATATAATGTCAGCAGTTTAACACTGAAATTGACTGTATAAGGACCGCTTTCAATTTGATCACATGCTATAACCATTCTATCACAGTGTTTTTAGGAAAGGCTTTTGATATTTTCATTGTGTAGCAGGTTCCTTTCTAGAGCAGCTTACATCTTAGCATACATCTTAGCGTACATCATGAGCGTTGAAAACATTAGGCTACATTTTCTACAGCTCTCAGTAAGTTGATGCAGTAAAGTTGTGTGGCCAACGGGTATATTGTTTTTGGACCAGCAGCAGATGTCCAAGACTGTCAAGGCTTTCTCTCTGTTGGTCATCTAGATGTATCCTAGCTACCTCTTTCAGCTCTGATTTGGTGTCGAGGTTAGATATATTGATCATATTTCACTAGAGTTTAGTTAAGTGTTATAAAACCATTATAACCTTTATAATTATTTTATAAACCCTTAGTTATTTACAGAGCCTAACAATTTCATGATGTGTGAGCATTGGTTAAGGTTCGTACATGAAGCTTGTTTGCTGACTGACAGATATCACGACCTGGTTTGATATAGTAAATCAAATCGCATTTTACATGCGGCGAATACAACAGGTGTAGACCTTACTGTGAAATGCTTACTTACAAGCCCTTAACCAACGTAGTTTTAAGAAAATATGAGTTAAGAAAATAACAATAACGATTAACACAATAAAATAACAATAACGAGGCTATATACAGGGGGTACCGGTACTGAGTCAATGTGCGGGGGTAGCGGTTAGTGAGGAAATTGAGGTAATATGTACATTTAGGTAAGGGTAACGTGACAATGCATAGATAATAAACAGAGCAGCAGCAGTGTAAAAAAAAGTAAAAAGGAGGGGTTGTGGGACAATGTAAATAGTCCGGGTAGCCATTTGATTAATTGTTCAGCAGTCTTATGGCTTGGGGGTCAAAGCTGTTATGGAGCCTTTTGGACCTAGACTTTGCGCTCCGGTACCGCTTGCTGTGCGGCAGCCTATTTGTTTTCTTTCAAATACTTAAGGTGCACTTGATTCATATAGCTTCGTGACTTAACAGAATGGAATCAATGGAAAAGTACAAACCCCGCCCACATCTTAGGTATTTGAAAGAAAACAAATAGTGTTTGGCCCCGGGCTTTTGCTCTGAAGTTGGTCCTTGATGTTAACCCTTTTCACCAACAGATGGCAGCAGCCTCCTAATAGGGGCACTAGAACAGTATTAACCTTAGCCTACATATAGCTT